AGCGAAGGAAACTACATCAGAATAATATATTTTGGTTATGAGTCAGCATCAGATTTGATCGAGATATAAGGATTTTAATTTTTGCTAGTAACAGGCGAAAAACCGGTTTTTCATAACAATACCTCTGGCGAAGTTATATTCATTTCTACACAAAACAAATGTTACCACTATGGTCAGCGTAATCGATTATCTATAGTCCATGGCATTTTGAGATTCCCAGAGATGTCTGCTCAGAGATAGACACGTGCTCGAGGAAAGCGATCCCTGCCCGAACGACGATAACCAGAGAGCCGGGAGTTGCATAATTTTGTAGAGTAACGTCCGAACTATCTACGCATGCAAAAAATTACTAACATTGTATGTTAGTTTTCTGAGAACGAAGCTGGTTTTCCAAAGATCCTCTGGAAACTCGATCTCTGGAAGTTTTTCAAAAGTTGCTTCCGCTTGCGAAAAGTTCTGCTCAAGTCTTGGCTATTGAACAGCGAAAGTCGTAGGTCTCTATCTCATTCCTATCAAAAGTTATTCAAAAAGCAACCAGCGGTCTGACCATTTGGAACGGATAGTAGTCACCAAGCAAACTGTAGTTCTGGACAGAAGGCCAGCCTGACACAGAGTTCTTTTCGCTCAATTGCCTGAGCTTCCCATACTCACTCACTAACTACATACTAGCACCGAAGTGCCAGTGTATGTCACAACGTAGTGGGCATGCTAACAGATGGGTGATACGAGGCAAGAGCCGTTAGTAACACGCTATCTTTGGAGTATGTGCCGAACAACATCACCGCTCAACCATAGCGCTCTCTTGAATATGAATGAAACGTAGTTTGGACTCTTGGCTAAATACACCTGTTGTTAGTCACTGTAATTCAGAAAGAAAACACCGGTGAATTATTATTTTGGCAAAAATAAAAAGTGATGTTTCTATACAAATTCTATCAACCATTAAACGAGTTACTTAAGAAAAGGTAATCTGGCCAAGGATGTTTCATTCAAATAGCGTTCTAATCAAGTAAACAATCATTATCCAAGAACATGTTATTCCCACTGCTGGTTGTTGCTACTGTTCTTATATCAAATGTTGGTGCTATCAAAGGTAGGATTCCATTTTAACTATATATATGTGTTCACACCGCTTTCTTCTTGTTTATAGCTCATAAGAAATTACTTCTAGCAGAAAATCGAAAAGAGGGTATGTAAACGCAAAATGCTTTTGCTTACTGATTCTCTTAGATTCAAAGTGTTTTTATAGGTATTGATCATAGTTACTTGGTTATATTTAAATCACATGAAAACGCTGTTGAATTTCGAGATGAGCATTTATTAACCATGGGCATACAAGCAAAACATTTATATGCAATAGGCACACGTTTTGTTGGTTATGGAGCTGTCATCACGGATAAGAAAGTATTAGACAAAATTTTAGACGATAGAAATGTTCAGTTTGTTGAGCAAGATCAACGTGTTAAAGCACATAACATTCAACACAATGCACCATGGCATTTGGTAAGATTTTATTTTCTTAGTAAATTCTCTTTTAAGCATTGGTGCCCACGGAATTGTTGTTGATTGGTTTTAGGCTCGAATCTCCGATAAGGGTAAAATTGATAATTATAATAAAGCTCAATATATTTACCAGAATCATGGTGCTAAAGATGTCACAGCTTACGTTATTGACACGGGTATTCGTTGTAGCCACGAGGAATTTGAAGATCGGTGTCAATATGGCTTTGATGCAACGGGTGAAGGTAATGGAGATGGAAATGGTCATGGAACACATGTAGCTGGACTTATTGGCAGTAAGACGTATGGTGTTGCTAAAAAAGTCTCGTTGATTGCGGTTAAAGTACTTAAAGCAAATGGTCAAGGAACTTCCACGGATACAGTCGCTGGTATTAATTGGGCAACCAAAGATTATTTATCAAATGGTAAAACGGCGAGTGTCATTAATATGAGTCTTTCTGGTCCAAAGTCACCGGGTCTAAGAGCAGCTATTCTTGCTTCCGTTGAAAAAGGTTTGGCATATGCTGTTGCAGCAGGAAATGCCAATTCAGATGCGTGTGATTTTGATCCAGCTAGTTATGGCTTTGTTGTAACAGTTGGCGCAACAGATTTGGATTCAACTATTTTAACAAGGAATTCAGATGATCAAGTAGATGAAATAGAAGATGGTCGTAGCCAATTTTCAAATTACGGTAAATGTGTTAAGATATTTGCACCTGGTGGCGCTATACAGTCAACATGGTCGACCAATGATCAAGCAATAAATACAATATCAGGCACATCAATGGCTTCGCCAATAGTAGCCGGTGCGATGGCGTTGATTTTACAGACTCATCCAAGATTAAGCCCGGCAAAATTGAGAAAACGTCTCATACAAAATTCAACAAAGGGGTATTGTCTCTAAACAGTATTCTGTTTGATACTATAATCATCTGTCTTTTCGTGATTTAGTGTTGTTCGTTTCGACTGTAAAGACGTTGCTCAAACTGAAAACTCCACATGTAAACAAACTGTAAATCGAATGCTTTATGCAAAACATTAATTATTCATGAATTTGGTTAGTCATTTATCGTTATGATTGAACAGAAACATGAATTTTTATTTTGTTTCATCGTCGTGTGGCTGGATAAAGAAATATTATTTTTAAAAGCAACAATAGCAATATGCGACAATCCTGATGTTAATTTTGCTTAGAAAATTCTCTTTTAAGCATTGATATTCATGAACTTGCTCTTGAATAATTTTGGCTCAAAAAGCTTTCAGGTCGTCGGAAAGGGCTACAGAATGAGGTATAACGTACTTTGCCAGATCCTAAGCTTGTTAGACTTATTGGTCAAAAAATGAAAGACGTATTCTTCGTGTTTTTCCAATTCATTTTGGTGATTTTAGTGACATGGGGCCTTTGTTAAATTGAATCCTGTTTGATGAAACAGTGCTCTGTTACAGAAAAAGTATCAGTCGGATGTCATGCCTAGCTCTCTCTAGACATGCTGCCCTATTCCATATGTACCTCTTTCTTTGTTCATTTATATACACAGACTACTTTTTCTTTCCATTATATGTACACATTCTCTCCTTTTTCTATGTAGTCATTTTTATTTATTTGTTATTGTACATCAATGAGCTAAACTGACGTAAAGTTTACTCTTTTCTTTGTCTATATGCTTATACTAAACACATTATAAAGAGACCAGATAACTATATAAGAATATATATTTATTTTCTATTCAGTTGGTACAGAAGTGTCGTATAGTTAACATCAATTTACGTTGTGCTAGTCTGTGTTTGTAATCTTCTTCACTCCATTTTAATAAAATACTAAAATATAATCATTCATAATCAGCACAACTCAGGGGTAAGTCATTCAAGCTATTCTAAATATCGTCATTTTCCAGCTCCAAAACAGGAATACAGTGGTAAATTCAGGAGAAACGACGGGGCAGCTCTAATCTCCTGTGAGAGGAATTTAGAACTAACAAGTGGGGGGAATACAGTTTGATAATTCATTTGATGATCTTATCATCGAACACAACCAGATAGTTCATTGTGCAGAATCAATTTGAAAAATCAGAATCGATAGGTGTCGTGTGTCATATGTGTTTGTGACCGTTCCTTATGGTTGATCTCAATTCGAGTACAATACATCGTTATCTTTCTTTTGTTCGTTTATTCGCTCGTTCGTTCGTCCGTTCATTTTTCGTTATTCTCATATCAGCTATTCATTAGAATAGACTGGATTTTCGTCGTTCTTTATTCACATCGTGGAACAAGAAGCCCAAAGACAAACGAAATTAAAAGAAATTAAAGGGTGTCTGTGTTCTGGCAACGTGACATTCCCGGGAGACGTAAGCACGAAGAAGAAGAAGCAGTTATCACACATTTTTGATTGAAATATGAGAATGTTCAATGGATAATGCACCATCATAACACAAGATCAAAAAAACATTTAAACGATTTTAAGATTAACGAACTACTACTATGTCCACAATTACATCCCACAATTTCTCTACATACAGCAAAAAACGATACACGTCGGCTACCGAGCCCATCTAGATTATTCAACACATCTCCTCCATCAAATAGTGTGTCAGACACATTCGCAGGTTTAAAGCCGATTTCATTTGATAGTTTACCAGAAGAAGAAGAAGATACACATCTTATGGATCAGCAACAACAATTAGAAGAAGAAAATCAGAGTGAATTAGCACAACTGAATCAAGTATATCAAGGAGCTAAACTAATCGAAGAACAAATTTTAGAAACGATCCGGGAATTCAAAGCAACGGACGCGGATGAAGCAAGTCAGTGGCTCACCGGCGTTGAAAGTGTTTTTCGGAAATTAAACTATCACCCGTTATGCTGGCCATTAGAAGCGTCAAAACGTTTTCGAAATGAGTCAATGCATTTATGGTATGAGGAAAGTCAAACTGTTGTGCATAATGATTGGGACCAGTTTAAACAGCGGTTGATGGAAAAGGTACGAGATCCTGTAAGAGTTCAGTCAAAGTCAAAACCAACTCAACAGCAGCAGCCGTCAAGCCAGACATTTGAATGCTACAGGCAGAAACAATAGTCAAGTAGTGCAGACATTCGTGAAAATTTTCAAAAATTCTCTGGTATCGAAGATCCTGAATTATGGGTAGAGTCAATAAATGAAACATTTGCAGAGATCCGAAATCAGAGTCTCGCTTGACTTCCATTTTTAAAGATAACATTTTAGACTACCTATCTATGGAAAAAATGAAAATAGTTTTATTATAAGCTTTTAATTAACAGCTCATTAACGAAGTGGAAGTTAGCTTTCGTCCGCTACAGCTAGATAGAGCAGAGGAGTAGGACATTTTTCTCGGTTTGGTATGAAAATTTCGTTGACAGCAAGAAAGAAGATAGTGTCTTTCTGGTTGTATGCTCATTTTTTTGAATGATAACACGAAAACTTCTATATAACGTACCTTTGTTATACTTTTCTTTGTATGAAGGTCGTTGGCATTTGAACGCTGAAAGTGCAAAGACAATGAATACGGTAAAGCGATTTTTCTTCTTGAAGATTAATATGTAGCTAAGTGAAGGTTGCTAAGTTACACGAAAAGCGAAATCTATATAGGGTCATGCAAAAACGGCGCCATCACCAGGTTAGGGATCGCCAAAAAGTGACAGACTATCACAGGGCGGCTCTGCAGATTATGCTAAGACAGAAATAGTTTCGGAGTTTTTCGTCAGTTGTTATAAGAAATCTTCTGCATCGACTTTTCAACTAACAATTTACAAAATAGTAATCAACGTTTTTCTTAGCTGATGTAAACGAGATGATAAAGAAGCTTAAAAACAAAAATCTGTAGAAATCGTTATATCCAGTTATAATTAAAATAATAATTAATAATTAATGTTAATATCCAGTTTTTGAGATTATATTCTGAGTTTGGGTCACAACTGCATCATTTATTTCTCTATAATTTTCTGGCATTGTGGGAAAAACCTTGATAAAAGCAATTCATAAAAAGTGTGCCCGAAAGTGGTTTTCGAACTATCGACCCCTCGACAGAACTACCCACACCTCCGGAAAATTTTCCGCATCTTTTCTTATCGCGAAAACAAATAGAAAAAGAAATAAACATTAAATTGCTAGGAGTTTATTTAAGCTCTGACCTCACATGACGATCTCATCTTGAGACTATCCCGAAAAAATGCTTGGCACGGTGAACCGCACGTTTAAATTAGCTCCATCGTTCATTCGCTTACACATTTACAAAACCCGATTATCAGACATTTGGGCACGCGATACTTGGGCGCCGACATTAGGGCGTGCACATCATTTGGGCGCGAACGACAAAAAAAAAGTCGATATTTGCACATGGCTAGATTTGCCTTTCAACAAGAAACAATGTTATACGTCCAGTTTTTTGAAATTCTTTTTCATTGCTGAGAAAATTCATTTTTTCTAAATCTGAGGGGAAAAGTCGTAATTCTGTCAGTAATTCCCAACTTTCTCAATCAGAACTCAATTTCTATGTAGTACATATCATATTTGGAGTCAGGATCGAAAGGTAAGTCGATTGATGTATATTTCTACCATATACGAGCACGTTAATTTTTTCGAATTTTCATGTTGAAAAACCATTGAGATTTTCACCGAAAAAACAAAATTCAAATAAACATTTCGAAATACAGATCAATCGGCTCAGTTTCGATCCTGACTTTGAATATGATATTTGCACTGCATAAAAGTTGAGTTCTGATTGAGAAAGTTGAGAATTACTGACAGAATTACGACCTTTTCCCTCAGATTTAGAAAAAATGGATTTTCTCAGCAATGAAAACGAATTTCAAAAAGCTGGATTTATACTTCTGTAGAGCTTGAGATGCCACATCGAACGGTGTAAAAGTTTTGGCTCTAGGACCTCTCCAGAGGGAATTGAAAGACTTACAAAAACGATTGATGGATTTGGATCACTTTGGTTTCCGGCTTTGCCAAAAATCGAGTTTTCCTTTTGCGCCTTCAGAAAGTAATTCTATAGATTCAGCTTTTGATGCTGAATCTGAATATGCTAACCGCAAAGCTATACAACACTTCCTGGTGAAACTACACGGCTTTTTCTGAAAACGGGTATTTTTCCGTTCTAAAATTAGCTAAGGAATATCATCACTAACAGAAAACTTTTGAACCGCCTCTTCCAACTTTTCTGGATGCTGAGCAGTGACACGCTCATGCGTAGATGGAGCAATCAGTCACAACTTTTTTGCAATATGCTGGACAACAACCTTCTTTTTTCCTAAACATTTTGAAAGTGCCGTTAATTAACTTTTTTGATAGCTTTCCCAAACGGCAGACGACTTTTAAATGCAACAGGTGGAGGTTTATTAATTAATCGTTTTGTTTTATTCTTAAGATACTTTTTTTGACGTAAATTATTCTTTGTACGCAGTGCTGCTAATTCCACCAGATTGAGTTTCGTTTTCGTTGCTTTTTTATTATCACGTTCTTTTTCAAGAAAATTTTCGTATTTTACTTAACATTTTTTCATTATCTCGCGATATTTTTTCATACGCTCCGCTGCACTCTTACCCATATTGTAAAAAATCAAATCAAAGCAACGACTTACCTTAGAAAAGAATAATAGATGAATGATAACAAGATGCTCTTAGAAAAAAATTTAGATGTAAGCGCTTTTTCAGTGCAATGGTGTGGATCGTTTTATTTTAAATTCCGACGTTTCGATTTATTTAAAAGTCATTTTCAAGGATATAAAACTAAAAGGTCTCAAAAGAGTGAGATAAATTATATATATGCATGTTGCGCAGTCATTGTACTTTCTACTCTTTTCTTACTATCTTTCTCGTTCTACTTTCTAACCTATTCAAGAACTAGAATAAGCTAAACAATAAGAAAGGAAAACGAGAAAAGGATTGACGTTGTTACATATGAGTGTATAGTAGAGATCTGCACGTGCACGAGAATTCTCGTGGCCGCGGGCGTGCCCATACTGCCCGCGGGTATGGACAAGCACGCACAGACTTGAAAGACACACTGACGAGCAACTACTTCCCTTCGACGGGCACTGGCTTCTCAAAAAGAAATTTTAAATTTTTTGAGCAACAACATGGTACGAAGTTACGGGCACGGGCAAATAAATCTTGCCGGTGCAAATCTCTAGTGTATAGTCTATCTCATCTTGACCAGCACATTTACTTATTTTATCTTTCCTTTTTACGAATTATACCTGCAGGAAAGATCATCGAAACCGAGTGAGTTGTACAATTTAATTTAGAGTCTAACTTTTTAATCAAGCTTTCCTTTGTGAGTAAATAGTACGAATGATTATCGTGATTATGGTACCTATTGAGTCTTTCCTGAAAATTTCCTTGAGTCAGCATGAGATTTGATCGAGATATAAGGATTTTAATTTTTGCTAGTAACAGGCGGTTTTTCACAAAAATTCTTCTGGCGACGTTATTTTCATTTCTACACAAAAGCAACTGTTTCCACTATGCTCAGCGTAGTCGATTAACTATATTCCATGTAATTACGAGATTCCCAGAGATGTTTGCTCGGAGATAGACACGTGCTCGAGGAAAGCGAACAGTGTCCGAAAGATGACAGCTGGAGAGCCGGGCCTATCGAGTAGCATTCGGACTATCTATCCATGCAAAAAGATTATTGACATTGTATGTTAATTTTATGAGAACGGAGCTGATTTTCCAAAGATCCTCTGGAAATCAGATCTTTTAAATTTTTTCGAAAGTTGCTTTTGCTTGTGAAAAGTTCCGCTCAAATCTTGGTTATCGCACAGCGGCGCTAATGACAGAGTGAGTAAGCAATCTTTATTTCTACGATCCAAGAGCAAAATGTACTTAGTAGTTCGTGCATCCAGTTGCCTGCAGTCGATTATTCTGAACGGTAATGTTATCCCAGTAGTCATCGTCAGTAAATGACTTGAACAAAGAACTAAAGTCTGTTGGATAACGATCCGATGATGCTAGTTCAAGATCTAATTTGAAAACGACTAATTGCAGCAACGAGTCAACTAGCTCTTTTACTCGTTTACCGTTAAACTCGGCTACTTCTGAAACACGACCAGTCAGATCAAAACTTGTCAAGTTTGGCAGTGATTTTAATAATGATTTTAATGATTGATCGAATATTGAGCGATAAAATATGTTGCAAGAAGTTTTTAGTGTAATACTTTTGATGGACGGAAAGATCGATGTGTCGGTTTTCGAGATTCGAATGCCGCAATCAAAATTACTCAACCCCACATTCAAGTAGACAATTTTAGGACAGCATTTAAGTACGAAGAGTAAGTCGTAGATATCACAGTTATAAAGAGTCACATGGATAAGATTGCTCGTTTGTGTCAATATGTTCGTCTTACCTTCAAGAACAACAACATAATTAGATTGAACTGAAAACGTTATCAACTGAGGCAAATAGTTTTCGACGAGTATCATTTGACTAACGCGAGTTAAATGCATATATTTTCGTGATCGAACGTCGATGATAAGTGTTCTTAATTTTGATGCAAATTTCAACCGGTGTAACAAGGACAATATAGAGTTCAGTTTGAAACGATCATTAATCTTTACCCATTCGAGATGATCGAAATGTGCCTTGTACATACAAGACGGATAACGTGTAAAGGAGTCAATTCGCCGTGTTAAAGTTAGTGAGATGAGGACATTACTATAACGACCAAGATGGTCTCGACAGAAAGCGTCATATGATTTATCCGGTATGGTGGATGTGTCATGTGACAGACGAAGATAACGATCGTTTAAAGTACTATCGAAACGACCATTAAGGCCAAAGAATGCATGATGCAGATGAAAAGCGTCCAAATAATGAAATATAGCGAGATGAATTTCATCACTGAGATGCTCAAATCTCGTGACCATAATGAAATATATATATGTGGTGCTATAAAAGTATCATCATACAATTAATATAATATCCTTATATTGGTATGCGGACAAACAAGCAGATGGATCTAAAGTGTCGAACTGGAAAATGATTCTTTCGTAGAACCATCACTAATCTGATTGCAGTGTTAGAAAAAATGCTGGTGGTTATTAGAATAATGATCAACATTTTCTCTAATAGGTTCCTGTGGTGCAAGAGTACTACGGAGTATACTCCATAGTACTCTTGGATTACGGGAACTTCGCATCCTAGAATGCCGAACATAGATAAGCCATCGAAAATCACCTAGAAGCCTCACAACTACATTCTTAAAGAAGTATGTGGAACATGATTTCCCACTGACCTTTTAGTTCCCAAACTATTTCGTCTAGCTGAAGATTAAACCTTAGATAAAAATAAAGTTAAAAGCTGTTTAATTTCGATGACTAAAGATTTGGATCGAACCGTACAGGAATGCGGTATTTCGATGATGCTGAATCTGACTATAACTATGAACTACCACCACCGACGTGAAAATGTTAAAAACTCTAGATTGTACTGATCTTAAAAGAATACAGCTAATTCAGACGTGCGGCGAATGTGAAGAAAGGTTAAATAGACTACGAAGGAAAACTAATATTTCATTTCTAGAGTATATGCTAGAATACGTATCCTGATTTCGTCGCTTCTACCAAATACTTTTATCAACTCATTTAAAACCAGTTTTCAGTCCAACTTGAGCAATCCAAAAGTGAACGATACCTGTTTAATTAGTTCGAAAAAAATTGTGTTTTTCATGAACGCGCGGTACAATGAGAAAATGTTGACTTGTTTTGCACAACTGTTCCTATAAAGAACAACGACATCTTCTCTCATTGGCTCTTTCATATTCGCCACTTACTTTACATCACTCTCCTTTTGTGTGTGTTAATCTTTTTCTCACTGGTCATTTCACATTCACTCTCTCTTTGTCAGTTGTACTATATGCTCACTGTATAGCCAATACATTTCAGTCCATTCATGAATATACTCAGTGTTAAGAGGAATTTTTTGTTCACACATTCAAAAAAGCTACCTAAATCTTTTATACCAGGCGGTGCACGATCGTTTTCGCTGAAATACGTCGGTCGTATAAACGACACCATGTAAACGATGAAATACGATGAAGTTACTCAATCAGCGTTTAAAAATATTAAATTCGGAAAGAACGCAACTTTTCACCTCTAGAAAGTGAATACAGAATCATGACGTTAGCTTTTGTTCAAAAGTTATACAACTTTCAAAATCTCATCTTCACTTTCACGTGCTGCTCAACTATACTATTATTTTTAACCTTAGAATCATGAGGTGGTAAGGTCTAATAGTAAGATGTGAGACTTGTAATAATAATAACATCCAGAGGAAGTATAAAAGTTTGATTCTCGGTGCCAGTAAATACTTTTTTTCTTCGTCGTATACGACAATCGTAAACCACCGTTTACAACGTGGTAAACGACCAGTCAAAATATGATATCGTAATACTGCACGTGAGAATACCACACGTATATACCACATTACTATACTGTTTAGTGTCGTGTCCAACATCGTACACGACAGTCGTAATCATGGACCTGGGTAGATGCATTTCGACGTAAAAATCGCTTTCTTGTAAAAAAAATGACGTCGGAAACAGTCCTTGAGGTTGTAAGATTGCACGCCGTGCTATGCAATTTGACAAAAAAATTAGAAAATTTCCTTCGTATATCATATTGACAAATATGAAATGACACCGATGTATGACCGATTTTCACATATCTGAGTATTCTTTTGTTTTCAAACATAATTAAAAGCTTTTTAAACCAACAAAGTAAAAAATGTTGAATGATCAGTAACAAAGATAGTAAACAAAAATTCTCTTATGAAGTTATAGAAGCTGTAAGTTAGAAATAAAGGAGAAAATCACATTACAGAAGGTACGTTAGAAAAGGTTTTTGACTGGCTTCAATAATATCATTACACAACCTCTTTCAATGTTGTTTCTTATAGCCTTTTACCTATTTTTAACAGTTTTTCTTGAATTATTATTTCTAAATAATTTGATCGAGTGATTCTCCTAATACAATTGATTTATGATTATTACAGCACTTTATCCTACTGAAAGATGAAGTAGTTGTTTTTAAACTGGAAACTGTTTATTGATATCATTTCCTCTAATCGTCGTTTTGGTTTGTTTAGATTGCACTGATGCATTTGTTAATGATGAAAAAAATTTCCAAAAACTGGCTAAAACCGACTGTTTTTCAGCTTCAGTTTTGTAGCCTTTTCGTACGACAGTACTGATCGATTCATCGCGCACCTCTGCAAGGCACTTTGAATAATTTTTTTCGACATCTACAATTTAGATTACATATGACTATATAAGACATAAAACCAACTAAACATGTTTACCTATTGCACCTTGCACATTCCAAATGGTAATATCTCATATCATGTTTAAATGCTTCTTCTTTGATAGTAACCGATCTCGTACATTTATCACAAATGGGTATTTGTTCAGTCTTACAAAAAAACGGGTAGCGTCAGCTTTTTTCTATCAGACTGCCGACGAATGGAATGCTTCACCAGAAACGGTTGTTGCGGCACGTACTCTAGGTCAGTTCAAAGCAATGCTGAAATGTCATTTGTAAAGTTGAG